GGACAGACCCAGGTGGTGCCATGGGTTGACTGACTGCGATGACTGTCAGACGCACCAGCTGTGCCCCCACACCTGGGCAGCAGTGATAATTATCCACCCGGCACCCGCGCGCGGATTGATTCCGTCGCTACATCTCATCCTACGGTCGTCTGATTTGGAGACTTCGCGTGAAAGGCGACGGGTTGGGCGATAGCGTGGACGTAGACCCGACTCGCCCCTTAGTGCTCCTGCACGAATGCCCTCTCCACTCGAGTGCTGCGTGCAGGCCGTTCTCATGCCACCCAGGTGTTCATCGCTTCTCCGCACACACTCGATCTGTCAGTGCCCTCTCACCTGGGTCATTCATTCATGAGCCGTACGCAAAGGGGGACGCCCCTCGTCGATGACAATCAATACAATACGCACGCACACGTAAGAAGCGGACACGAAATCGCACAGCTCATATCGAAAAAAAAATGTTGAACGATGAACGGTACGCATTTCAATGACTTGAATTCCAATAATAAACGCGTACGCTTCTTCTATGGTGCCTTCCAGACTCACTCAAAGGAAAGATGAAATGGGTAGCGAATTGTGAATGTGTGCACTGTGTGTGTTTGTGTGCGCGAGTGTGTGTGTGTCCGTGTGTGCACTGCGTGTGTGTGTGCGTGTGTACGCGAGTGTGTGTGCGCGTGTGTGTGCGTGCGTGTGTGCTAGTGTAGCGGTTAGCGCGCTGCGCTATGAACCTGGCGACCCAGGTTCGATTCCAGCTCACAGCCAACACCAGTAACGATTATCTGAACGGGTCACGGGCCTCCCCTAGGTCGACTCAGCCTCAAATGAGTACCCCTCGTGTGCCGTGCCGGCCTTCATATGTGCTCGCTAACAGCACTTGCACCTACAGTCTGTTAAGGCTATACGGGGGATCTTTGTCTGTGTGTGCGTCCGTGTGTGTGTGCACTGCGTGTGTGTGTGTACGTGAGTGTGTGCGTCTGTGTGTGTGTGTGCGTGTCACCCAAACAGCGAGCCTGCGTGCGAGTTTAAATGCACGGGATTTACAAATACGTGTGCCGGTTCTGTAATCAGCTTTCCCCAATGGCAAGTTTAGCTGCAAGGGAAAAAACACAATGAAGGCAGAAGAAAGACAAAGCTAAGCATCCAACATCTGTGTCTGCGCACCGGCTTTGCTCTGACTCTTTGAGTCGTATAAACCCCTCCACCACCACCAACCCCATCACAGCCTCCCCATACATCACACACACCACCGTTACACACCAGCAACCATCACTTCCCATGCAACACCCATACTACACCCACCACTCACTAACAACACCCACGCCACCGTTACACTCCAGCAACCAACCATCAGCTCTCATACCAAACCCATACTACACCCACCACCCCCACACACCAACCATTCACCGCCCATAAGATATCCACCAGCCACACTCCCGCAATACCCACAACAATCAACACCTCCCCGCATGGAACAACCACCACACACCCCACCGGCTCTTCATACAACCAATTCATCATTGACCCCACAACACACACAACCTCCGTCAACTCCTCTGAACAATTAACAAAACCATCCACCGCATACTCCCTACACATTCAAACGCCCACTCAACAATCACCGCCTCCCACGTGACACCCACTCCCCACACACCACCGTGATCCCGCGACAACCTATAACCAGCTACACGACGACATCATTACCCACAACACCCACACGCAACACACCACCAGCCACTAGCCGTGCAACAACAACAACAACAACCGCTGTTCACCACCAAGTAGCAGTGACGTTACCACGGCCCTTGTGCCAGGCGATGTGCACTCGGAGGCCACGTGAAATGTCGAAGGCTCGTTGGTAGGAGGTCACGGGACAGACCCAGGTGACTGAGATGACTGACAGATGCACCACCCATACGACACCCGCTCTAACATGCACACGCCGTATCCATGTGACTTCTCATGCCCACACAACTGCACCACGCATTCTCACCCAACGCGTGCTGTCTGTCCAGCATCTACCCACGCATCGTCTACCACCGCCCAACAGAAACCCTGACGCCGACACGACATCTATCCACCTCCAGGCATCTCCAATCAAGCTGCAGTGACCACTGCTTGCACACAGAAGGTTAGGACATGGACTCTGTGTTGAGGTGTAATGGAAGGGAGCACAAAGTGACGAGGTGCAGAAGAGGTGAGAGCAGTGGCTGCCCCAGGAGACGTTCACTCGCCACTTCTCACCCAACATCGTTTTAGCAAAATGAATGGAGAATGATTATCATGATGTTACACCATTTTTGTTTCCTGGGTAGTTATTTCGTAATTGCTTATGCCTTAAAAGTACAGAAAATGGCTATTATTCCGCACAAACTTTGCTTTTGTGACCAGGACAGTGATATTTAGAAATTTACCTATTTTCAATGAGAAAACGGGCGAATTTGTGTCTTTTCGTTCACATGAAGTCAGAAAACCCAACCTATGAATCAAACTTGATTTGAAGCTTTCGTGACTGCAGGAATCTATACTATTTCTTTCTTTCGGTAAAGTCACGTAGGTATAAAATTAAATAAATGAATACAACATGTACTTGTATTTATACTAAAGTAATACAAAAATGACTACAAAAGATTAGAAGTGAGTAGTTTTTCGAGATTTACGATTATACGGTAAATCACTTTCACGAATCAGGTCCCAAATGTCGTCTCCCATCCTGTTCTCGTTATACTGTCCTTGGTAGCGGCGTTCAAAGTCCAGTATATCCTGGTGGAAGCGCTCGCCTTGCTCCTCTGAGTACGCTCCCATGTTCTCCTTGAATTTATCAAGATGAGCATCAAGGATATGTACTTTGAGGGACATCCTACAGCCCATTGTGCCGTAGTTCTTCACCAGAGTCTCAACCAGCTCCACATAGTTTTCAACCTGTGATTGCCCAGGAAGCTACGAACCACTGCGACAAAGCTGTTCCAAGCCGCTTTCTCCTTACTCGTGAGCTTCTTGGGGAATTCATTGCACTACAGGATATTTTTTATCTGTGGTCCGACAAAGACACCGGCTTTGACCTTTGCCTCAGACAGCTTAGGGAAGAAGTCTTGAAGGTACTTGAAGGTTGCCGACTCCTTATCTACAGCTCTGACAAATTGTTTCATGAGGCCCAATTTGATGTGCAGTGGTGGCATCAGCACCTTCCGGGGGTCCACCAGTGGCTCCCACTTGACATTGTTCCTCTCCACAGAGAACTCGGTCCGCTGTGGCCAGTCCCGCCTGTGGAAGTGCGCCTTGGTGTCTAAATCTTTTCTAGTCATTTTTGTATTACTTTAGTGGAAATACATGTTAATTTTGATTCATGTGTTGTTTTTTCTGACTTTATGTGAACGTAAAGACACAAATTCGCCCGTTTTCTAATTGAAAATAGTTACATTTCTAAATATCACTGTCCTGGTCACAAAATCAGAGTTTGTGGTGAATAATAGCCATTTCTATACTTTTGAGGCATAAGCAATTACGAAATAACACTTACTACCCAGGAAACAAAAATAAAATTGTTACACAATGTTATAAAAAAAAACTGCCACTCACCACTACGCACTGCCACGGTGCCACCTACTACCACCCACCACTCACCATTACGCACTGCTACCCACTAAACCACCCACCCCTAAACACTGCCACCCACTAAACCACCCACCCCTACACACTGCCACCTACTTCCACCCACCAAACACCACTACTCACGCCCACCCACCACCCACTGATAGAAGGCGCTACTGCCCTTCAATACCCAGCAACACCGACAACGTCATCACCACCACCACCTATGAGAGTAACCCACCCACAAACACCCAGTGTTACAAAACCCACTACCCCCAACCACCATTCAACCAAACCTCACAACGAACACCTCACCAACAACTCACCTACAACTCACCGGTCTCCACCACCAACCCAGCAATCCCTCACCACCACCACCAACAACTTCGCCACCCACCCATCCCGAGCCCCATACCCCGCGCCAGCATCACCCCCCCACCGCTCTCTCCCCTCCCCAACTCAACCCACCCACACAAACTCCCCCCCCACCCCCCACTCCCTCCCCCAACTCAACCCACCCACACAAACTCCCCCCCCCACTCACACTCAACCCACCCACACAAACTCCCCCCCCCCCACTCCCCTCCCCCCCACTCAACCCACCCACACAAACTCCCCCCCCCCACTCACACTCAACCCACCCACACAAACTCCCCCCCCCACTCCCCTCCCCCCCACTCAACCCACCCACACAAACTCCCCCCCCCACTCCCCCCTCCCCACTCAACCCACCCACACAAACTCCCCCCCCCAACAACCCACCCACACAAACTCCCCACCCACCCCCCACTCACACTCAACCCACCCACACAAACTCCCCCCACCCCCCCCCAACAACCCACCCACACAAACTCCCCCCCACCCCCCCACTCACACTCAACCCACACAAACTCCCCCCCCACCCCCCCCACTCACACTCAACCCACCCACACAAACTCCCCCCCACCCCCCTCCCCCCCACTCAACCCACCCACACAAACTCCCGCCCCCCCCCAACAACCCACCCACACAAACTCCCTCCCACCCCCCCCCCACTCACACTCAACCCACCCACACAAACTCCCCCCCCACCCCACTCACACTCAACCCACCCACACAAACTCCCCCCCCCCCCACTCCCCTCCCCCCACTCAACCCACCCACACAAACTCCCCCCCCCACTCCCAAATTCAACCCACCCACACAAACTCCCCCCCACCCCCCTCCAACTCAACCCACCCACACAAACTCCCCACCCACTCCCCCACTCATCCCACCCACACAAATTCCCCCCCCACTCAACCCACCCACACAAACTCCCCCCACTCCCCCCACCCCCCACCTCAACCCACCCACACAAACTCCCCCCACCCTCAACTCAACCCACCCACACAACTCCCCCTTCCACCCCCACCCCCCTCTCCGCGTGTCTCGCGGTCTCACGATCCTCAGCCACACACTCTGAGCGCCGTCTTCATAGCGCTGTTGTGGCGTCTGCCTCCTCCTCCTCCTGTTGTTGTTGTTTCTCTCTCTCTCGGTTTGCTGCCTTGCTCACTGACGTGTTATTGATTATTCGCGTCAATTGATTTCTAATTTGCCGCTTGGGGAAATGTCGTGGAGCCAATTGGAATTTCCGTGTGCGCTGTCGGCATCGTGGACTTATCCCATTCCGCAGTGTGCATGAACGAGTCCTCGTGTGCGGACCGAGGTGCCGATGTATGAGTGTATGAACACGTGTTGCATGAGTGGGTATCAGTGTATATGACTGTGTGCATACGTTCACGCATGTTTGGGGGGAGGGGGGGTATCGCAACTCTTAAGTACACGTGCGTTATGAGTATGAATGCGGTGCGTGTGTGCGTGTAAAGGGGCTTGGATGTTTACGCGTGACATCGCGATACGCATCTAGATGTGCATGTAATGTCCGCCGGGATGACAACGCTGAATTACAACGCGCGTGGCTCGGCTGTGTCGGAGAAGCTCCGAGCAGACACTTGTTGAAGACGGCGACCCGGGTTCGACACCGGGCCAGGGTGACGGCGGAGAGGACGATGGGACGACGCTTGCTGTGGCTGGCAGTTGCACTGGGAGGTCTTGCGCAATCGTCAGAGGTGAGTGCCGACAGCCGTGCGCACGTGGGGTGTGTGCGCACGTGGTGTGTGTGCGCACGTGGTGTGTGTACACGTGGTGTGTGTGTGCACGTGGTGTGTGTGTGCACGTGGTGTGTGTGCGCACGTGGTGTGTGCGCGCACGTGGTGTGTGCGCGCACGTGGTGTGTACTGACAACCCACACTGCACACACACACATATCCATACAATGCCAGGGCACTGGTCCGTGCACAGTGTTGTGATGCACCACGTGTACACGCGTGATTCAGAGATTCAGTTCTCACGCGATCTTTTGCGGAACGCTGCTCGGCTGGTTTCGAGTACTGTCGGTGATTTAGCGGCGTAAGGCACTACCACGAGAGTGCAAAGTACGCGCCTATCCATAATGACCAAATGTGTAGCTATCATTGTACCCTATATTCCTGTTGTCACGTGGACAGTTTCATAAGAACAGTTGACGGCATCGTCTCGCCGTTCCTTTCGATCCGTGTTTTCATTTGTAATTAAAACATCTTCCGGACCCCTCTGGCCGATATTAACCACCGCGTTAATAAATTACGGTTGTTAATCGATAGCCTGCAAAAACCGGTAACCGTTAATGATAATAATTGGTTACCCGTTTGTGCGAGTCTGGAGCAGTTGAAGCAAGGATTTGGTCGAGGCCGGTAATTGGTAACATTTTTATTGTTATTACTACACGCTTTCTATTAACTCACTCTGTCTGTTGTTGTTGTTATTGTCGTTGTATCCTCAAATCTTGTAACTCAATTTTAACCCACTTCCCAATGTGGTGTCGACTGCAAACTTGGTATACTTGTGTCATACTGATGACAATATTATATTCTATCATAAAAAAATAAAAAAAACATATTTTAAAACATTATTTTGTATATGTTATGTTTCGGCTTGGCTCAAATTGTCCACGGTAAACTGACATGGGCTGTAATTGCCCACGGCCCCTGACGTTATGGCAAGCTTCGGGGCCATTCCTGGAGTTGTCGAGTTCTTCCATTACTAGTAGGGTACATTTCATTAAAGCGTGTTTTTTTTTTTTTAAATATAACGTATCTCTCGTTGGCTCAGCGAGCAAAGCGAAGAGGTTGCAAGTCGTGCTGCCGATGGCGTGTGATGTTTGCGTGCTCACGCCGCTGCCTGGCAGAGGCTGACCTGCCCCAACGGGAGATGGGATTGCATCGACGCACCCTCCCTGGATCGCAAGTCCCGGGTGCTCAACAATGACGACTTCCTTTAGGTTTCGTTTCTCAGTTAAACGCTGGATAAATGTTCATTTTGCTCCACATCTCGAAACGTGTTGCAAACTAACCGGGTTTTTTTTATTCCTCTGGTTTTCTGCAACCGATTTGAACCACATTAATCACGTACATTCCTTCGTTACCCGCTCGACTACATTCACCATATACGTACTTGTACAACACGCCAAACATTAATTATTTACTTCCATCATGTTGCGTATAATCAATACGATATGTTTAATTTACAATTGGACATTTTACACAAATCAATAAACTCAACACATTCGACATCACTGCCTGTGGCCTTAAAAAAATTAGGAATATATTCTAGGCGACGTTTCGGGCAATGCCCCTTCACAGCACATCCTACCTGTCAACCCATGCGGTTTATCCGTATTCTTGTACAGGGAAATTGAGCCAAATGTGTTGTGTCAATTTGTTTGTGTTTCTCCCTTGTGATGGGACTTTGTAGGATGAACGTTGAGATTTATAAGGGCACGGGGTGACCAATAATGTCTGAATTGGTCTGTAATAAAAAGTAGGGCCACTGATAAGGGGTTGACAGGTAAGGCACATAGGGAAGCCCGAGACGAGAGTCAACGTTATTCATCGCTTATGTACAATAGCTTTCCAGTTTCAGAATTAAATGTGGTGCATACGCACACCTGTTAAGTGTTAATCACATACGCAAACGCGCACGTTGACAAACATCTGTTAAATGAGTGTTCGCATGTGCATACACACGTGCGTGCAAGAAGCTGATGGAGCGAGTGTCGAGTTTAGGTACCGTGCGCGTAAATTACTTTAATTGATGCTACTCCATAATCTGTCCTGACAGGTTGATAAATGTTATTTAAGTTTACAAGTATGTGTGTGTGTGTTCATGGGGGAGCGGTAGCGTAGCGGTTAGCACGCTGCACTACGAACCTGACGACCCAAGTTCAATTCTCGCGCACAGCTAACAGCAGTGATTGTTATATCAATCGGTCATGGGCCTCAAAATGAGTACCTGGTGCGGGGTGTAATCATCGTCACTAGGGAGACAAAGGCGGCCGGGCGTGGTTCTGGCCACCCACCCCCTCGTGTGCCGTGCCGGCCTTCATACGCGCTCGCTAACAGCACTTGCCCCAACAGTCTGTTCAGGCTATACGGGGGACCTTCGTCTTTTGTCATAGGTGTTTGCTAACGGCACTTGCCCCAACCCTGTGAAAGTCTGTGCGGGAGTGGGGATCTTTGTATTTGCCTTTGCCTTGTGTTCTGACAAACACAACACACTTCACCTGGAGAGCGTGCCCCGTAATTATGAGCAGGCTTCGAGCCCTCTGGGACTATGGGAGAGATCCGTGTTACAAACAAACGTCAAAGGGTAATAACAAATATGCAAAGCTGTAACCCAAAACACACGTTCAAAACAAACACGAAACAAATCGGCGCAAACGGGAGGCGCTCTTTAAATTGTTTAGTACAAGACTCGAGCTGCTGTTGATTACATAACAAAAACAACCTCTCGTATGCAATATTCCAAAATATATCGATCATTTCAAGCTCATGATATGCGCTGAAGCTCCCATGCCAATCGGCCATGCGAGTTGTTTGACCATACTCCGACGGCTTTGTTGAAGGCTTTGGGAGTGGCTGGCGCCGACTTCAGACACCGCTCGCCAAAGACGTTGACCACGTCCGGGAATTGAACTCAGCTCTACACGGTGGAAGGTGTGGGGGGGGGGGGGGTTCAAGTGTGCGGTGACTTAAAGGCCATCAAATCTGCCACGTGCTCCTCCAATCTCGGCAGCTGGCAGAAATGTCTCAGCCTCGCCGTGTCGCTCACCACTGGGGACGCCACCTCCAGCGGAGAATCCGAGTTCCAGTGCAAACATTCAGCGTCTAAGAGAAATAAATTAAAACATTTTTTTTATAAAATCAGCTTTCTCATTCTCACCATCCGCCTGCATCCACCCTCGTCTCGTCGGTTACTCAGTTACGGTGCCGTGATTTATAAATCTGCTTATACCACTTGCCCTGAACAGCTTCCTTCCCGTCTTTCACGCTGCCGCAATGCTTCATTCTAAACGAGGGACGTTCCATTTAACGCCGTGACCTTTACTCCTAAGGTCACGTTATCGTTACGCCATCCTGCCAGAGACATCTTCAATCGATCCACGCTTATTTATAAAGCGGTAAAACATAACACAACAAAGACGGCCGTCGTACTCGAGGTAGTTTATTTACTCCAGGTTGAAACTCTCGCGATATAAAATGAGCCTCACGTTCCCTCCCCGCCGCGCCGTTAATGCCAATATTGTTGTGGTATGTTGGTGGGTATTGCTGTTCACTCACGATGCGGTTGAAGTCTGTTCTCCGACGATCGGGTCCCTTCTCCTGCCTCCTCCTCTTCCTACTCCCCTTCCTCCTCCTCCTCCCTCCTCTCCTTCCCCCTCTTCGTCTTCCTCCTCTTGTTCTTGTTCTCACGACCTACCTGGATACTCCGCTCGGATAAGTCTCGAGCGCAATTGTTTCCACATACATAGCGAACAGCAATCGCGTTTCAAGCAGAAGTCGCGTACAGCACTGCACGCGATTTGCCCGATGCTGCGTTTGGGCAGACGATGCCACAAGCACAACACCTCCACACGAAAAGCGTTGATGCTGTGCTCTTAACAACAAACAACAGGCGACGTTTCAGGCAATGTCCCTTGCTATGAAGAAGGGCCATTGCTTGAAATGCCACCTCTGTATGTTGCGCGTACGTTGAACTTCTTTCGCACCGTACGTAGCCAACCGCGCTAATCGAAGGTGCGGCTGCAGGGGGAGGAGGTGGGACAACAAACTAAACCCAAAAATCAGTGGACTCTACAACATGTTTGCTGAGCAAAAACTCAATAATTGTTAGAGGGTCACATCTGGATTGCGCCACAGCGCCCGTGTAACTAGACGACTGGGATCAAAGTGATGGAATTGAGAGGCGCTGACGAGAGGGGTTTGGAATGATTTTGGGAAACTGAACTTGAAGGGAAGTTGGAGATTTCGACCCATCGACCCTAGCGAGGGAATGAAACGAGCGCCAACTTGTGTGACGTCAACACGGGGGTTGATTTTTGTCCACTGGCTCCTGCCATGGGAATGTGCAATTTTCACAAGTTCATGAAGAGTGACGTGGCATCATTATCTCTCTGACTTATTCATCTCAGACGTGACATGTTCATCTCCGCCTCATCCGAAATTACCTCTTCGCTTCCATGTCATTCATTGTTACCTCTTCACCTCATTCAATGTCCCTTCCTCATCTAAGCTCGTCTTTCATCACCTCCCCATCTTGTTGTGTCGATACGTGTATGTTTTCTTTAAAAAAATAAAACCTCGCGCGTAAGCTTCGTCTGTTAACGGAATCTGTAATCTGAACATGGCTGACATTTACACCATTGGAACCTCATTTGCCAGTAAAAATATAATAATTGTTTTTTTACCGTTCTATCTGGCAACAAAACTGACACCTTTTTTTTACAAGGAGTCATGTTTGCATAGACCACAATACCTGCAGCCATAATGCAAACAAAAACATAACTCTGATAAGGACAGTGCATATATTATCAGAGTTATGTTTTTTGGTTTGCATTATGACTACAGGTACTGTGGTCTATGCAAACATGACTCCTTGTAAAGAAAGGTGTCAGTTTTGTTGCCAGATAGAAGGGTAAAAAACCAATTATCATGGCTGACATTGTTGAAATGGCCTCTGTCTGGTTGGGGGTGTTGGGGGGGTCTCCATCAGGTCAGGTCAAGTCACGTGTGATCAGGTGAGGTGACCTGGCCGCTTACTTTCTGATATCCGTCTCTCAATCAGGTCTATTCTCACGCTGGGAGAGGTGCCATTGGCAATGCAAATTACACATCCCCCGAATCTGTATGTGCCCGATATCACCAGGTCTCAGAAGCTACGCAGGCTTTAGCTTGGCTAGTAATGGGACAGGATACTTGCCATGCAATATCAGATGTCAGAATTAGACACTGAAGGTATCCGATGTTGTAGCGCTTGGGATGCAAGTTGGCCACGAGATGGCATGGAGGAATTCTCCCCGTTTGTTGCAGCAAGCCAAACACAAACGAGTGAAATTTATACCAATCGAATTGGTATCATCATCATCATATCTTAAGTTGTTTATTCTTCTGCCTTCAATCTTCGCGCCTGCTTCGATGGAATCCAGGCCTGCCTCTCGCATGATGTGCTCACTGTACAAATTGAATAGGTAAGGAGACAGCGCACAGCCCTGACTTACTCCTTTGCCAATGTCAAATTATTGCGTCTCCCCATACTCCATTCCCATTTCCTTCATTGTAATCCACGTCAGTTCACGGCCCACACAATCAAACGCTTGGCTATAGTCAATGAAGCAGAGGCACCGCTGTTGCTGGGATTCGTTTGATCTTTCCATTCTACGTCTGACGTTTGCAATTTGTTCCCTTGCTCCCACTGGCGGAGCCAATGGGAGGGGGGGGGGCTGGGTGGCACGTGCCCCCCCAATGATCCGATCGAAATCCCTAATTTCGATCGGATCATTGGGGTTTATTAGTAATACATCGGCATTTTGCCACCCCCCACTGTGTAGCATATTATTACTGTGTGCCTAGGAACTCTATGAGATGATAGGACAATAGTCTGAGTCCATAATTGGCAATAAGTAACGGCAAAGCAGTTATAAGTGACTCATAGACTTGTGCGCAGTTGCGTAAACAGCACACGACTTCCCTGAAGGCATCAACACCTCCAGCGAGCGCGATGCCGATCACACAACGCGGTTCGAATTCGACCCTCGATCGATGACTGCGCCATCGCCGCACACGCGTCGAATAAAAAGCAAGGGACAACAAGTCCTTACTCACTAACAACTCCTTACTCACTAACAACTCCTTACTCACTAACAACTCCTCTATCATTTCTCATTGCTGGATGAGTTGCCCCCCCCCCTACCTGAAAATCCTGGCTCCGCCATTGCTAGTTCATCTCTTTTTCCCGAAGCCTCGCGTCAACACCCGCTAGTTCTCTTTCTACACAGCTCTCCATTCTATGTGTTGGATAATACTCTTGGGTTTTTTCGGTAAAGTCACGTAGGTAAAAAATAAAAGTAAAATTAATAAAAGTAACATTTAAAAATCACGACGTTTCGGAGGCAACACAAGCCTCCGTCTTCAGGTGGAACCGTCACAGCACGATTGCTGTATCAAGTAAAAAATGTATATATAATCTCTTCAGCAAAACATTGCTGGTATTGGCCATGAGAGCTACAGGATGGTTGTTAGACCATGCTCTGGGTCGCCTTTCTAACGTCGAGTTATGTATATATATACTGAATGCTCCCAGTCTCTGGGCCACTCGCCACTGGACCAGATCTGTTGCCACAAAACTGTGAGTATCTCAATAGCCTCATCTCCTGCTCCCTTGATGAGCTCAGTGGGATTGCCATCTCCTCCCCGGGGCTTTTTGTTGTTTGCGAGCTCCTCCAGGGCTTGGAGTACGTCACGCTCAATCACGGTAGGCGCTCGTTCGCACTCTCCCCCGTCAATGTGTTTAGTTAATGCAGCGGTCGGGAACCTATGGCTCAGCGAGCCATATATGGCTCTTCCGGTGACGGCATATGGCTCCCAGACAAATTTGAGTTGAAAAAATAATAAAAAAAAAAAATCAGTTTGGAACTGATTTTAAAATACTTGTGATATTTCTTAATAATACTGTGTCATTTTAAAGTAAACAGAAATTAGTTTTGAAGATAAATTTATCGGGTCACGGATCCCGTGACCAGAAGTCGCATTAAAAGTAAGACATATTTAATTTATTATACGTAAAAAATACTATATGGCTCTCAATGAAATATATTTAGAAATATTTGGCTTTTATGGCTCTCCCAGTCGAAAAGGTTCCCGACCCCTGAGTTAGTGCCTTCAACGTAGCTCATGCAGTCAGGTTCAACACGTGGCAGGCTTTCGGCGACCAATATTATTCATGATAAAGGTTTTTGGGGTTAGATCGCGTAAGTATGCATGTGTCGCTGAGCCTCCACCACCCGACACAGCCAATTAGTAAGGGGTTTGTCACGTAAAAACACGCCAATTAGTGACTACTTCAGCTTATACGGTGTCTCTGTGTATCCTCTACATCTGCCCTTTACTTCTTCCAGAAGATTCTTTCCCATGGTGTTCTTCATGCCACCTACTCTTGGCATACATCTGCCAGTGATATCTCTGATATTTGTGTTAAAGAGAGAGATCCCTCCTCGCACATCAGTGCAAGCTTCTCTAGAGCACTGTTATTTATCTCTCCGTGCGTGTCGCTGAAATTCTGCATTTAATTCCTTAATTTCTTGAGATTCCGCTCCGAAAGCTTTCATATATTTTGCCATTCCATCTGCTATCTCGATTGCTTATTGCGACGGCTGTTTGGCCTTTCTCTTGGCTTTTGGTGCTGCAGAGCTGTGGCACTCACGGTGGTATTCATGTCTTGCCAGAGTTCATCTGGGTCCATCAGATTCAATGCAGAACATTTGTTGCTGATGTCCATTGTGAATTGTGTCGGGATCTCGGAGACCTTAAACCTTCGAGGTATTTCAGGTTGTTTTTTTCAGTCTCTTGACGAGGGAGAGCTATAGCGACCTGGAAGGAGTGGCAACAATCGAAACTGGCTGAATTGATGAAGCACGCGTAGCATTGTTGTCGTATACAATGCGTTAAAAATAAAAACTTACCGCGTGATGAGTGCAACTTTTTACGTGATTATTGCGATCGATGCGTTTGTTTGACCACCTCTGAACGTTGTCACCCTTCTCGTGTGTTGTTGTTGTTTTTGTTGTTGTTTTGTTGTTGTTTGTTGTTGTCCCTTTCCAACGAGGGGGAGTGATCGTCTTAATTGGCGAGCGCCGAGTAAAATATCCTTAAACCACATGGTAACCTGCGTGGTTCTGTGTCTGTGTTAGGTGAAGAGTTCCCAAGACAATGCCACAGAGTCGCCCCACGACGGTAAGGTCTTGTGCTTGTGTACAATTACCCCTCTATATATATTTGTTTCACATTTAGTCTTTTCCCCCGATGAATTTCCTTTTTTTACGAAAACTCGCAGAGCAGTGAAACACGTGCGGCAGAGAACGGCTCAAACAAACAAAATTCATGAGACGCAGAATAAAATAACAATCCTTAAAGTCGCCTTTAATCCTTTATAGAGTATATAGTTAAGGTGGGGGGGGGTACACTCTCCCACACACTCTGCTATAAGACTTTCCATGAGAGTTAAACCAATATTTTGAATTCTTAGAGCCCGAATTTAGCCAAGTTACGATACGTGCAAAATGTTATTTCTCGTGATGGGATTTGTTGCGTAGCCGTTGGTAGCTCGGCTCTGACCATCAACTTTTTGCTACATTTCGGAGCCCAGTTTTTAATCACAGGTGTGACCTAAACCCAGATTCACAACCATGTTCTGAGTGGTGCCGGCTCCGTGCGAGCGAACCACGAGCCAACGCGGCTCTGCTCCGTGCTGGACTCCACTCCGGATTTTACTCTGCTCTTTACCAGATTGGATTTTTTATTTCTTCTTAACTACACTGTGTGTAATTGTTAGTATCGGCGTTTCCTGCAGTTTGTTTGGATTTAACATAGACTGTGAGTGTAATTATTGGCTTTTATCATCGGGTTTTTTTGCATTATATCTGTATTGCCAGTGTAATTGTCATATTTGTTGTCATTATTATCCTTTACTGTATTTAGATTGGATATTATCTATACTTGAGTGTCATTTTTATTTACAGCGCTTGGAGATATTTCGATATTAAAATAATATTCTTACAACCACCACGATTCATACATGGCCCTTTCATAAACATCATATCTGGCCGGGTGGCAGAATGGATCAAGGACCCGAGTTCAAATCCCGTGTTAGGGGTTCTGCAATATGAGTACCGTTCAGTACAAAATTAACAGCGGTTGTTTCATGGAGTGGCTGGACCCTGTCATGGAAATATGGAATTTCCACCACAGATATTTGCACAACACTCATGATATATTGTGTGTTTCATCAGTGTAATTCTTACCATAGACGGACAGCAGAGTCACATATTAGCATAGCTAAGCAAGGCCTGCAAGTTCTATTATCGGTCATTGCCTACAAGGATCGAGCTTTTACCCAGTCTGAAACATTCAGTTCAGCTGAATGCAGCTGTGCACACAAAGTTCTTGATTCACTGATTGCCTATTTTCCGCATAATTACATCGAGTGAAATAATTGAGGGCAAAGCCAATTATTTTATTTCCGTGGCTTGCTTTTGATTAATAATAGTAATAATAAAAATAAGAAATCAGAAATTGCGCGCGTGTGCTTTAGCTCCGAGATGAGGCTCTCGTGTAGGTTGTGGGAGCGGATGGACTCAGCGCTTCGTCAAAATCCACCGCGCAAATTTTGCAAACACAAGCGGTGAGTTCTCCCAACGAAAGCACCCGGGAAGGTTTCGATTTAAAGCTTTCGTGACTGCAGGGATTCATCTTCTTGGTTCTTTCGGTAAAGTCACGTAGAAGGGAAATAATAAAATAATAAAAATAAAACATAATAAAATTATTTTAAAGCTTTCGTGACTGCAGGGATTCATCTTCTTGGTTCTTTCGGTAAAGTCACGTAGAAGGGAAATAATAAAATAATAAAAATAAAACATAATAAAATTATTTTAAAGCTTTCGTGACTGCAGGGATTCATCAACTTGGTTCTTTCGGTAAAGTCACGTAGAAGGGAAATAATAAAATAATAAAAATAAAACATAATAAGATACAATTCTCACAACGTTTCGGCCACAACGCAAGCAGCCGTCCTCAGGTGAAGAACAGGTCTGTCGGAAAGACAGCGTCTGAATGAAAGACAGCGTCTGAATGAGACGCTGTCTTTCCGACAGACCTGTTCTTCACCGGAGGACGGCTGCTTGCGTTGTGGCCGAAACGTCGTGAGAATTGTATCTTATTATGTTAAATTTTTATTATTTTATTATTTCCTTTCTACGTGACTTTACCGAAAGAACCAAGAAGATGAACACCTGGGAAGGATTTATCCGAAGTGATTGTCGCCTTCATCTGAACATCGGGGTCGTGCTCATCTCTCGATTACAGCCAGTGGTGGAAACTCTACGCTCCTATGACGGAGGGTGGGGTGGGGGTTCAGATATATTCAATAGGAGGGCCGCTGTTGGCTACCACGATCAGCCCCAATAGGAGGGCCTCTGTTGACTACCACGATCAGCCGCTGAGTCACCCAGCTGGCTGACACCTGATTCGTCTTCATGAAGCGACATTTGCACGTTCAACATTGCGATTCTTCTCGGGCTGATCACGGCTAAATTAATATCCCGCACCCGCATTACAGTATCCGGTGTGTTCACGGTAGACGGATAAGCGCGCACGCTCGCGCCAATAGAGGGACACACACAAAGGGCAACCCTCCCTCATTCATCGGCCATAGGCTAGAGCAGTGGTCTTCACTCATTTTCAGAGGTGGGGCCCACTTTCGCCGATAAGCCATCATCACTGTGAGGGCCGCCACACATTTGAAACCATTGGGAGGTTGATTTGTTTACCTTTATTGTACTTTACACTCCTATCATGTTTCGTGTTGTTTGTTGTTGTAACATTCTTACCTGGCCCGACTGGATATCTGTGAAAAATTAGCTTAATAGCTAATCGGATTCCTCCAGTTTAAATACATATTCTAGATTCTTCTGATACATAAACGCTGCCACTCTTCGAGTTTCTGGTCAAAAGAAAGATGTAGAGCAGGCTCGAACAGTTGTATCCGCTGTAATAACCTCGTTTGCCCTGCATGCGATGTAGGAAATTTGTCATAATGTAAGTTATTTACCGGTGCGTGCCATGTTTATGCATCCAGCGTTAAATGAGGACGCCTCTTCCATTTGTAATGACAAGCGTTGCGGACAAACATGGCTTTGAATTGTCTCTCGTTTGTCTCATCCATGCGTCACTACTATTTATACGAGCTTTTATTTTCAAAGGGAATTTCAAAGTGCCCCCCCATATTCAAGTGATCGTCGGTCGATTGTTTGTTTGACACATCGCTGGAAATTCCGTGGTCGTTGTGGTTTGGACGATTCGGTCGTTAACAAGACAGCCGCTGTTGAGTGTCCATCAAATGGATGCTGTGCACTCGCTGGGTGGGGTTGTAGAATCACAACGATGATGACGATGCCAATGATGACGATGGCAATGATGATACTGATGGTGATCGCAGTGATGATGATGAAGGTCATGATATAGATGATGACAATGACTTATTATGATGATGGCAGTGATCACAAAGGCAATGATGATGCCAATCAATATGGTGACAGTGATATCGACAGTTGTGATGACGATACCTTGGATGAAGATGCCTTTTATGATGATGACAATAATGATGATGATGAAGGCGTAATGAAAAGCTGCACCAACGGTGGTTAATGCTTTGAACTTGTGATCTCATGGTTGGGGGCTCTGATTGCTCAACTAAGTGAGCTCCCAAGTTCAGGTCACGTGGTCTCCCTGCTCAAGCAAGCAATGAAGCATCACTCACCTCCATTGGCCGCCCCATGCCAATGGTGGAAATTCCACATTTCTATGGTGGGGGCCATTCACGGAATGGTTCTCGTTTTCTTGACCATTGGGCGATGAGTCGGCCCCAGCCTGATATTTACCTGCCAGCTTTCGGAATGTGAACGTAACTTGGTAACCACAGTGCCAGGCCAGTTACTGCACCATAAAGCAGCAGTGCTTTGAATTTCCATTACCATCACCGGGGGCTCCCTCACGGGCAGTGCAGCAAAATCCGTTGTTGTGCTGTACTTCTATGCTCCCGCATGTATGTGCCCACCACCCACTTACCAGCATGGTGAAGTATGTTCAAATAACCTCCACCGAGCGCATGGTGTGATGGGGAGATCCAAGGAAACGGCAGGGCAAGTGAACGCACACGTCCACATAGGTCACCGCCACAGTGAAGCTAACCCGAATACATCGTGGGGTTTCGTGTGGAGTTTCGCCGTCTTTGCGCTGAGCGAGCCCCATCGGGACTCGCTCAGCGGTTGTCCAGAAGCACGAATCTGACCGCAGCTGATGAACGCCTGAAGGTCATCATTATTCCGCTGAAACAGATGGTGCTGGAAAAAACAAACCCCCCCCCCCCCAATCAACATTGGTTTCGAAGGCCAATAGGCCGATGTACAAACACGAATGAAATGTTACTCTACGTGAAGGGGCCGGCTCCCTGCCACGCTCATTGTTGATCTCTTTGTTGGTGACATTCAACTAAAATGTTTTTCACTGAAGCGCCGAATGCGGCAATTAATCGACCGATCGGCAACGAAAACAAAACAGCGCTCGACCCCGGGGGGGGGAGGGTGGGGGGGGCTTAGGAATGTTGGTGGGGGGGGGGCCCATTCGTGCCTCGCTCGCGGATGGATCTGCGCTGTGTCGCTGTGTGCCGGGGCGAGTTCTGACTCGGCTGAAACATCCGAGCAGGAATTGTCTTGAGGGCAGGGGGGAAGTTGGCGGAGGGAAGAAATCCACTCGTGCCACGCCAATATTGCATTTTTGGAGTGGGAACTAAACCAAATAAACTCCATCGATAATTAATCACTTTGTGCTAATTGTGTGCAATTGTTAATCAAACGGCAGAGGCAGTGCCGGATTGTCCTCGTAGCAAAAGTAGCTACATATGTAGTAGCTACTACATATGTAGTAGCTACGGGCCACGCACTTTCAAGGGCCCTGCGCTAAATGCTTTCAAGCTATCAATTCCGCTTCAGCGATTCTGCACTTGCTCTATTACTCTAGTATTATATTGCCTTCAACTTTTATGAACGTCTGGGTGTTTAAGGTTAGCGATTTGTCGTATTATCTGGCTGTATAGTAAATGAAAATACAATTATTTTACTTTGCAAGTAAAAAATGTGTTTTTAATATTTGTGTTTTTTTATTTATTTAAGGCCCCTTTA